GGAGGGGCTCTGTAAGGAAGTGGCAGATTTTTTCCGGTTGTGTATTTTCAAATTCTAGCGATCTCGAGCCGGTTTCTCAAACTTACCTACCCCACCTTTAAATGCATTAAAATTCTAGTTATAAGCGCTCATAAATATTGATAACATGATAACTCGTAGAGAAGAAATGCCTTCTTGACAACACCTCGTCAATGAGGCCTAATGTTTTTTGACCACTTACCATCGATACACTGATGTTGCCGTTGGTCTCCAGCAGTGATGTGTTTTTATTTTTGCCCTCTGTGTTCAGAACAGACCCAGACCAGGTTTCAGACGTATCACATGGAGGCAGTTGGATAACAAGTGGGCTCAACGCCTCCTGTAAACAGAGAAAAGAAAGCCGGAAAGGAATATTTTCATCATTAAAATGTTCCCCTATAAATTGTCCAATCGAATACAAATCCATGGCTTGGATACTCGATGATTTACTATAAAATGTTCTTCAGCATTTCATGGCGGCCAGAAGTTGGAGACTACCGACTCTTTGTTGATCTTTTATCCTAGCATCTAGGATTGATTGGCTCAACATCTATTATTGGTTTCCATGCGATGAGCCCTATAGGATGTTGCAGAAAATATGTTTTTTTGTGGGCCAACCAAAAATGTAATATTGCATTGGTTCTTTCGATAAAAACCCAATTGGATTTTCCATTGGATTTTGGATTATAGTAGTAACAAAGCAAACGTTTACAATTCTGAATCATTTGATTCAGAAAGATAAAATCGCAACATGTAAAAAGCCTATAGCTATAAACAAACAACACCTTGATGACTTTACAAGACCACCACAAACCTAAAGGTGGACTAGTGTTTGGCGCGATGATGTTTAGAAAGCTCATTTGGCCCATTGTTAGCAAGCGCCTTTTTTAAGTCCGGTTTCAAAATATATGAGCTGGTTATTTACTGAGAGATTTTATGTCGTAGACAAAGAAATAAAGTTTCAGATATCTTAATCTTGTGTTTACCAAACCCGATTTTAGGCATTCAACCAAAGACCCATTGTCTTCAAGCTCATCGGAAGTGCAAACATGCCTACTTATTTTCATTTCAGGATGTATTCCTTCATATAGTGAGGCTATGGAGTTGACATTTATGTTTCTCAGTAAAATATTGGATGTATTACCATGTGTACAACTTTGGTAAATAAACCAATGGTAGGTAAAAGGTTCAAGTGGGTTTGCTAACAAGGAAAAAACCACTACCACACTCCATTCTCCATTCCTTGCCAGACAGCCTAACCTCCAGTGCCAGACATCCTGCCCAGCTGTGGAGAATAGAGGGACCAGAAGTAGTGTGTGCTCTAAGGTTAGTTAATGGGTTGAATGAGTTCGTGGTTAATCACGTGGCGGTTTAATAGTAAAACTATTAGTTGTGGAGGAAGTAAACATCCCAGCAGCTGACAGTCAGTAGACACATAAAGAGAGGTCAAAACAACCTGCAGAGACAAACCTGCTGAGACACAATTAAAGAAGTATGTACAGGAAAAAACAAACATCAGATTTTGTGTTTTTCCACTGATACTGTCTGATTCTTACATTGTTTTCCAAAAAGAAGACACACATGGACCTCTACACAAACACTCCACAGACCCCTGGCTATGTCCCTCCCTGCCCCACTCCTCGTCCCCTCCCACTCCCTGACACTTGACTGTATAAATATCCTCCTCGCAGCATTGCTGGGATTCAGACACTGACCTGCTCTGACCAGGGAAACTCAGGAGACCAGCCAAAGAAATAGACAAAAAAATCAAATAGGGACCATCTACTGAACAGACAACAAGTTGCTACATTTTCCAAAAACAGATCAGCCTGAACATCCAGAATGTGGCTCCAGGTGTCTCTCCTCTGTCTGTCCTGCTTAACTCAAGCCCAGCAGGCCGAGGACAGAGCGTCCCTCCGCCGCTCCAACGACCACACCGGGCGCTGCCACTACAGCTTCACCGTGCCCAGCCCAGAGGAGTCCAGCTGCTCCGGGGGCAGCATGAAACCAGAGATGGATGGAGTCTCATCCCGCCTCACCCTGCTGGAGGCTTTAGTCAGCCGTCTGTTAGCTGGAGAGGACGGAGGAGCGGGGACTGGGGAGAGGGCTAAGGGTGAAGAGGGGGTCCGGGAAGCGTACTCCCAGGTGACGCGGGAGAGAAACCAGCTGCAGCAGGACAAGGAGCGCCTGAGCAGGCAGGTCCAGGAGCTGCAGAGGCGGCTGGCCGAGCTGAGCCAGGAGGCAGAGACCCTCAGCCAGAGACCCTGCCAGCAGACACACACCTCAGGGGCCAAGCAGCGGGAAAACAGACCTGCCAGTGGTATGTACACCTGCGAGGGAAACACACACAAATCAGAACGGGGACTCTTTTAATAACTAGAGTTATCCAAAAGATAGCATTTGGGGTGTGGACTGGTAGCGTGAGAAGTTCACCTCCTTTGACACCTCTCTGTCAATAAATGCATGTGTATGGCCTAATGTGTTTAGGTCCTATGCATATGTGTATAACATGAGTGTACTATGTAGTGTACTGTATACTAACAGAGAGAAAAACTGACTAACCCTTTTTTTCCTTCATTTTCTCTTAACGACGAAATGTATTTGCGGTTGACTTAGGCCATTAGAAGTCTCGTGGGGCAACGAGTCAGGTTGCAGTAAGATGTCCCAGGTTAAGCCAGGGGGGTCGGTATTTACAACACAGACTCTTCTTTTATGGCTTTGTGAATCATGCATGTCTGCTTATGTGCATGTGATCATTTTCAGCAGAGTAATCGCAGGGTTATAGGGGGAACCTGCTGTGCTCCGAGGCTTATAAACGAGAGACTTTGATGTGTGGATGGACTCAACTGTACTGCTAATATACTGGATACATTAATTATGTTTCGACAAGTTCTCCTTAACATTCTTTCCCACTCTGTATTTTTTGCTTTCTTACTCTTCACTTTTCCAGACCCTGCATATGATTTAGGGAATGGTGCATACCAGGAGATGAAAGCAGACGTTACTGAGGTTCCAGCATCCCAACTCATTCCTGAAGGAAGTCCCAACTTCACAGGTAAAGTTTGGGTTTTAATATGCCAAGACATGGGATTGATCTTTTCCGGCAGCTGAATAATCTGCCATTTGTTGCCAAGAGAAACAGACCTGGTGATTAAAACCGGTAAAAACACTGATTTGAAATGAGTGTTTCTCTGACACAGGGGCTGCCAGCCAATATTCCACTAATGAGTCCTCAGCTTGTTTCTCTGATAGTGTAAGATCTAGACGTTTACAGGGACCCTTATGATTGGCACAGGTGTCTCCTTCTCCCAAAAAAAAACCAGGACAGATTACATTACTTGTTAGACGCTTTTATCCAAAGCGACTTACATACTCAATACTGTGGCCAATCCCCACAGGAGCAATTTGGGGTGAAGTGTCTTGCCCAGGGACACAACGACATGCTGACTGCAGTGGGACTCGAACTTGCTATCCCCTGATTCGAAGTCCAGCACACTACCCACTGAGCCACAGTCTCCCCCAGATGATAAAACCAGCAGAAACCAAAGCATGTCACATCACAAAATAGTCTTTCTTCAGCTGCCATTTCAGTATGCTCAGTTATTTTCTGATCCAGAAGTCTCAAATCCTTCCTCTGGTTCAAATATTTAGTCTAAAATGGCCTTGATCTAAAAAGTGCATCGTAAAAATATGGCTTAAATACATGTACAGCCCATTTATGACAGCTTCTGGCAGGCAAGCACAAAAGGGGAAAACTGGCCATTACAGTCGACTAAAGGAAACAAACTGACCTTAATTAAAATAGCAGATTTCAGTTGCTTGAAAATTGTTTGAAACATTTGTGATAGGGATGTACATAACTTAACGAAGCAGATAACAAAGAGCTTGCCATTTTGAGACAATTTAATGCTAAAATGCAACATATTATGCCTTTAACGCTCTGTTTGTCCTGCAGGCTGTGGAGAGCTGCAGTCAGTGGGAGACCCCATGTTGCACAAGAAGGCTGACAGTATCACAGGGAAGTATGGAGTGTGGCTGCAGGACCCCGAGCCTCAGGGTCCCAATTACAACAACAAGACCGTGTGGCGTATCGACACAGTGGGTAAAGATGTCCGTCAGGTCTTTGCGTATGAAGACATGGATCAGTTATCCCAAGGCTTCCCTATGAAGGTCCTGGTCCTGCCGGAGCCAATGGAGAGCACAGGTGCCACCATGTACCGCGGCTCCCTTTACTACCAGCGCAAACGCAGCCGCAGCCTGATCCGCTACGACCTGACCTCCGAGCGCCTGGCCTCCCGCCTGGAGCTGCCTCACGCCGGCTTCCACGGCCAGCACCCTTACTCCTGGGGCGGCTACACCGACATCGACCTGGCGGCGGACGAGCAGGGTCTTTGGGCGATCTACAGCACCAACAAGGCAAAGGGGGCAATTGTGATTTCCAAGCTGGACCCCGAGAGCCTGGAGGTGAAGAGGAGCTGGGAGACCAACATCAGGAAGAACACAGTGGCCAACGCTTTCATAGTGTGTGGGCGCCTGTACACCGTGGGCAGCTACACCGCGCCCAACACCACCATCAACTATGTGTTCGACACGGCCACCGGCATGGGGAGGGCTGTCTCTGTGCCCTTCAAGAACAAATACCGCTACAACAGCATGGTGGACTACAACCACGCCCAGAGGAAGCTGTTCGCTTGGGACAACTTCCACATGGTCACCTATGACATCAGACTGGGGAAAGCGAGTAACAGCAGCAGCTAAAGACTAACGGCTGTTCAGGACTGTGCTGATGCAAGTGAATGAGATAAGACGTGATAAAGTTGCATTGTACTGAGGTTACTGCAAAACTTAGTATGTTTTGCATTACTAAAATAATGTGTTTTTTTTACTACTTTTGTAAATAAGATCTATCATGGCAATGAACATCTATGCATAAAGCATATTATTGTACCTTATTAACTCCTTGGTTATTCAAAACAGTTATCGTGGTTTCAAATATTTTTGTTATCTGTTTATAAATGTTCTCTTTATTTAATTTCTCAATAAAAAAAGTGAAAATAAACCTTTTTGTTTCATATATTTAGTTTATTTAATGAAAAAAAGTATGACCCCAAGGTTGTGTCAATCAGTCTATGTGGTGTCAGAAATGGTGTATAGAATATTGATATTTTTTAAGGTATTGTATCCAAGTTAGACATTCTTACACAAATAGACTGTATACCAAATACATTGTTGGGATGATTTAATTATGGTATTTCTAAGTCTATTTTATTGTTACCAAAACACAGAATGTATCCTAAAAAAAAATCTCCATGCTCATCATCTGAACTTATTTACTTTACTTAGTTGAACTGGTGTATATACAGAAATTGTTTGGATAAGGCACTTTTGTGTAGACTCCACTGATAGTGAAAAAGAGATCAAATTGTGACGGTATACAACAGATTTAGTTTGTATCTTCTCCACATGCAGTGATATCACTATTATATGTTTGACATACTATGCCATGACAAGTGATAGTAGGATGAAACATGAACGTGAATGAAGTGTATTGTGTATTCAATATAAGACTACTGCATTCACGAAAGTTAGTTTGAAAGTTTAAGAGGTGTTTCTGTGCGTAAAGTCAAAAAGTATCCAAACTGGCGTGCCACATTTGAAGGGAAAGTGCTGGAAATTGTTGGAAAACGAACTGAATATATACAAAAAGACAATAGTTATCTGTTGGTTCGCAGAAGTCCAACCCTTTTCTTATTGGAGTAATTATCTGAACCAAAATCAAAGCAGTTCAAGTCGCTCACCCAGCGCTAGGTTGAACATGATCTCCTGCTCTTCCAAACCCTCCCCCCGGAGAAGAGTGTCTAGCGCTCAGAGAGCTCCACCAGCCGCACAACAGCTGCTCCATGGAGACTCCTCAGAGGCGCACACTCCCAGCAGCTTGGACAGCCAGATACATCGCCAGCAGAAACCGGAGCGTTATGGAGAATATCGGCTGGCTGAGACTGACGGAAAAGTCTTCAGGTGGCGCTCCAAAGGAAGAGTATAAGAACATCTGGAGCACCGGCTGCGGACATGGCACTCAGGATGCCCGGTTCCCGGAAGATATATCTTTTGGACATTGGTAAGGACATTTTTATATGCCAAAGTGTCAACAGTAATCTATCAAACCGACTTTATCGATCACCTGTGGTCAGAAAAAACGTATATCCTGCTCTACTGCGACGCACATACATCATGCAACCGGTCTGGAGTCCGGTTAAAGGGGTATACATTACCATACATTATCTTGGAGTTTTAAACGTATGATTTCTTCTTTGAAATCTAAAACAAATGCACTGCATCTAGGCAATAAAAGTAAATGTTATAATTCAATTGCCGATAATACATGAGCATATTATCGTGAGGAAGTGCTGTGTTTATACAAAATCCTCAACCTTATGTAGGAATCTGGTCTATACGCGTGCGTAAATTGGTCATTTGGAAACATCGAGACAACCAATCAACGAAAGCGCGCCCTGAACGCACCGCAGAGTCAGATCATAGTTTATTATAGGTGTCCTGTGCAGGCACAGTTGATGATGATGTAAATAGAGAAGCCTATGCAGAGGGAAGCTTCCGTCTCTTTATTTAACGCATCTGTGATCAGAGCTGCACAGAGACGCATTCACGGTCACTCTGAACATGCCGGGGCTGCTGCTCGGAGATGCGTTTCCTAACTTCGAAGCGGAGACGACAATTGGAAATATTAAACTCCATGAATTTCTCGGTGATTCGTAAGTAGGCTTCTTGGATATATGGATATTGAATAGTGGAATATACTGTTACTAGAATGCGAGAAGGGGAAGGAGCTTCCAGTTCCTGCTACTGGTTTCTGACTTCTGCTTTCTGTTATGCATTTAAACGTGTAAAGGTTGCATACATGTGCTAAAGTCAATCAGACGGATGCAAACTCCAGTAAATCCAGAGGTTGACTAAGTACTCTAAACGAAGTAAACACCACATTGTATGAATATTAAATAACAAGTGACATCAGGACAGCAGAAACTCAGCATATCTTCCTTCGCAAACTGAAAACCCATATATTTCGATTGTACCTTGGCAATTAAATTATTGCTGGGAAAAAAACCGATGCACTTTTTGAGTTAATTTAGGCCTCGAAACTGATTTACCAGCATTAACTATGATATGATCTTGCTTGAAATGAATATATCTGCACTTTCCTTGTTGTTCGGAGTTTGAATCTTATTGTAAGTCGCTTTAGACAAAAGTATTACTGCCAAAAGTCACGTGACTCACTCACGTGACTTTTGGCAGTAATATTCCGCCGTGAGAAGAAAAAGTGTTGTAGTTGTAAAAAAAAGTGTTGTAGTTGTAAAAAAAATGTGTGTACTTGTAAAACCTATGCTGAATTTGTCTCTGAAACATGATTTATTAGAATAATGGTATGTGTTTATTTGATAGATACGTTTTTTCTTTGCAAAACTAAATGCATTAGTTTGTAGATGGTGTTTTGTATTTGCAAACCACATTGTGTTTGTTAGTGAATCATGAGGCATTTGTAAAACCTGTTTAGTTTGTTTGTGGAGTTATGGCAGGAAATTAGCTCCATACAAAAGCTTCAACTAAATGATATGTAATATAATGACAATCCTGCATTCCAAACTAGTTCTCAGACTGCACAACAACCCTTTTCAGAATAATATACAGTATATTATATTAAATGAATTTAAAATTACGTATATATGAATGCGTTTACCATATTCACGTTGTAGCTGATAAATGAGTAGATTTGTTTTGCGTATTTTCTGCTGGGTAGCTTGTCAGTCTAACCAAGACACACAATTTCATCTTGACCTAAAATGATACATTATTTGTTTTTGTATTTTCTATCTGAATTGTCAAAGTAACTAAAGCTGTCAGACAAATTTAGTGCAGTATCTTTATGGAACTAAACATTATTTTTGCAACATTACTCAATTAAACTACAAGTATACCCTTAAATAGCACGTAGGTAGCTTGACTCAATGTACTTAGGTACTGTCCAATATATAATATCAAAAGCATCAGTAAGGAGACCAGGTCAAACCTTGAGTTCCTCATTGGTGCAGTCACATTGCTGACCTCGTCAAACAAGGTTGTTACTGTCATTGTTTTTGGAACACCAGAGTCACGCAGAGGTCACTTCCTGTGTCAGGTGCATCATTCAGCTCCATCCTATTGTGCAACCAAACAATAAGCCACAACAGTGACCCCATAAATTAAAGATTTAGGTCAAAAGAGAGGAAACAGGGTCAGACTGAAACCTCAGTTTGCACATCCTCACTTTCAAAGAATCAAAGACCCTGACTGACACCTGACACATCCTCACGTATCTCTCTGTTTATTCCAGATGGGGGGTCCTGTTCTCCCACCCCAGAGACTACACCCCGGTGTGCACCACAGAGCTGGGGCGCGCTGCCAGACTGAGCACTGAGTTCAGTAAACGCAACGTCAAAATGATCGCCCTGTCCATCGACTGCCTGGAGGATCACCACAGCTGGAGCAAGGTGTGTCTAAACTGTGTTTAGTGCAGGTCCTAGCTACACACTGCAATACAGTCATATCAATCTGATGAAACTAGAATGATATATACCCAGATCTTAAAGGGGCCCAATTATGCTTCTTGGGGTTTGCCTTTTTCTGTAGTGTATTGAATACGTTTTTTGTGCGTGTAAATGATCTGCAAAGGCTAAAATCCCAAAGTTCCCTCCAGAAGGAGTTTCTCTCCCACACATTTAGTCAAATTTAATATAAACTGAAAGCAGTTTGAATATATTGAGTCTAGACTGCAATAGCTTCAGATAAAACTAAGTTATGACAGTTAAGAGTTGTCAGGCAACGTCAAATAAGTAAACTGAATATCACATACAATTGTACCTCCTCTGTGTGTGCCACACTATACATACCTCAAAATAGTTGTTCAAAATTATTTTATTTAAGACATCAGAGCTCCACCAGTGTAGCTACTAACAAAGGTCTATGTCTCTACAAACTAGGACATCCTGGCATACAACTGTGAGGACTCGGCCTGCCGCTCGCTGCCCTTCCCCATCATAGCGGACAGTAAACGGGAGCTGGCAGTAGCTCTGGGCATGCTGGACCCAGATGAGAAGGATAAAGATGGCCTGCCGCTCACTGCACGCTGTGTAAGAATCTTCAGTCAAATTCAGTTTTTTGTCTATTTATAGGCAGTAGGGCATGATTTGCACCATGTGATTATTGTGGCAATAACATGGTAAATAATGTAATAATGCTGTCTGATAAATTCATCTCTTAATTTAGATTTTGTGTCTTACCAATTACACTAATTTACGTGAGGGTGGTTGGGGAAGGGAGACAAAGCAAGACTGTAAAGAAAAGTTAATTATTTATTGGCACTTGATTATTATATTGTTATACACCAGGATTTGATGTGGCTTGCCAGATGTTTATAGCAAAAAATAATAAATAATCTAAATTTTGAATATATATATTGCTGTTTATACTGTTTTTAATTATTATTTGTGAGTTAAAATGTGATTTAAACATGCAGAATCCCTTGTTATTAATATTGTTTTATAATCTGAGCACAGCGCCAGACTAACACTTTGCATAGTTAGTCAGTTTGGCATGATGTGATGAAAGAATAAAATGCAAATACACAGACATTAGCACAGGGACAAAAGGCGTTTCAAGTAAAGGGTAAAATAACGTGGGATCCTAATACAAATTCGCATTTAAATAATACAATCAAATACAGTTTGCTTTTGGACCGTGGCCCACTATTCAGTTTCAGTTTTGGCCCAACAAGGGTAAAGCTTAATGCACCCCTGATTAACACTATATTTTAAAGGTGCATTATTAACAAATCAACTTTTAATGTTTATATACAAGTTTTCATCAGTACTGGTATATCGTGACACTATTAGGCACCATTCAAACGTCATATCTACTCTCATGCCTGTGGAATAATTAGTAGTGTCTCTGTTTAGGTGTTCGTCATCGGCCCTGACAAAAGGCTGAAACTGTCCATACTCTACCCGGCAACAACCGGACGCAACTTTGACGAGATTTTGAGAGCAGTGGATTCTCTCCAGGCCACAGCAGGGAAACGAGTGTCCACACCTGCAGACTGGAAGGTAGGTCACACCTGTGTGTTTGTACCAATCATTTCAGCAGCTGACTACAGAGATAACATCATACTGGCCTTCAATGCTTTTCATGTGACTGGGTCAGGCCCCTTCCTACATCCAGGACATGGGTACTGGAAACATGAACACTCCAGCATATTCGCTCCACTCTATATCGGCCAATTGGTTTGGTAATCATTCACTGCGAGTGGGACCCAGGTACCCCTCAACAAACAACCTCCCGATTGCTATCCTGACTCTAAAATGGTAGAACAAGCTCCCCATTCATATCAGGGCAGCAGAAAGTATACACAAACTCTGTTGCAGACTGACAAAGAACACCTGATTTGACTTTGAACTGACACCTGTACGTAGCATGTGGTTTTTCATATTTAAAAGCTAACATACTAGCAGGATCTTGCTTTTTTGAATGTGTATCTTCATAGTTAAATGCACTTCTTATAAATTGCTTTGGATAACTAAATGAAATGTAATGTAATAAAGGAAATAGATATTCACCTGTTGCCACACAGAATTACTTTTCTTTTTCATTTGTCTCCCTTCAGCCTGGAGACTGTGTGATGGTTCCCGCCAGCATGCCTGAGGAAGAGGCAGCCGCTTTGTTTCCAGCCGGTGTCTACACCAAAGACCTGCCCTCTGGGAAGAAGTACCTGCGCTACACCCCGCAGCAGTGAGCACGACGGAGACACACCCGACAGTCAACACTCATTTATGTCACAGTCAGTCCAGCAGCTCTCAATCTGGGACTACATTGAGTGCTGCTAGTCTGTGTATGCGGTAGACAAAACGCCTTAAGAAATGTGTAGGATTCTTTTTTAAATAAAGTGATTTTGAAGTATGTACACCTCTGAGAATCAAAGCTTACTTTCATAATGGGGATTGTTTTTTGAAAGAAGGGGGAGGCTTGAGATAGGAACATATATTTTGTTTATAGTTAAAGATGTAGCAAACAGTTTATTGTATACAGCATGGCAAAGAAGCTTTTATTTTTGTAGGATGATACTATCAGGGATAACATATAATTCAAATCTAGACGTTATTGTTTATCCACTTCCTCTATTTTCTTAAGAGGAAGTGGTTAAAGGTGCTAGTTACACAAAGGATGGCTGCGAGAGGAAATGCACGCTATTGCTACTCTTTTTGAGGGGCAACTATACCTCATGAAACACAGTAAACGAATCAGTGTTTCAAATGTTTGAAGGGGCCCTATGTTTTGGGGGGTTTTCCCTTTCCTGTAATGTGTCATATGGGTTTCGGTGCATGTAAATGGTCTGCCAAGGCTAAAACCCAAAGTGTCTCTCCTAAAATGGTCCTTTACATAAATGTTGCATTGGTTTTTCTTGGCCGAATTGTACATTTCACAGAAAGTTTTAATTATATTGTTACTGTATCTACTTGTAATGATTGGATTTTGTCCCTGTGTCGGACAATCAAAGCTTCATTTTTAGCCTTAGACAATAAATGAGCCTTAACATGACATTTCTAAAAGTACCGTACAGAGGTGTGTTAGCTTTTCCCAGCAGCGCCTCCCTGTCCTTTCTCCACCTTGATGTAGTTCTGTTTAAAGGCTCCTCACCGTATCGACAGCATCTCCGTGACCAGCAGACAGTAGGACAGCAGAGGCATTACAAACAGGAAATGGAGAAAGGACAAGCTGTTTAAAAATAAATGTCACCAATGAGTTTGGGCACACTGAATTATATATCATAAAATACATTAATTTGAAGTGACAGTGAAAAATGTCATTTAAATGATTTATTAGGAATACATTTGAAGGTACTGGATGGTGTTGGTCTTTGGACGGAGCTGAGGGGCCACTCATGCTGATGTCACCACATTTACCCCCCCCCCCCCCCCCCCCCCCCCCCTCTTCATGGAAAGATACAACAGCTCTTCTCCACGGGAGGATTTCTGTGATGTCATCTGTTAAGACTTAACTAACAAACCCCCTGACAGAAATGTAGCCTCAGGTAGCTGGTTGTGTCGTCATCATCAATATCAGACAGAAAGCACCAAGGTTAACACTTGTGATTTCCAGTCATTCGTCATCACGATTACGTCAGAGTGAGTCAGCAGCCGAGTCATCTCTGGCTCATGAGGGCCTGGTACTCCCTCTGGTGGGCGAACAGTCGCAGGAACACTTTGTTCTTTCTCTCATAGAAGCTACAAAACAGAAAGAAATTACACATGTGATGTATTTATAATGAATGACATTACTTTACTTGAACAAAATACATTTGAAGAATAGCCTCCTATATGCACTTTATCTTATAGGACAATTATATCAGATCAGATAATAGAGTGAACACTATGTTGGCACACATACAAAGGCTGGCTGTTAAATAATACCAAAATGAACACACAGTACAAAATGTTTATCATGGGTTGGACCGGTGTGACTGTGCTGGTTCAATATTACAGACGTTTTGGTCACAATCTTTTTATATATACGGTTGACTTTGCATATTCAATAGCAAAGCAAATTGTCTTTCCTGTAGAAATAAAGAAAAGCATATATAAAAAAGCATATATAAAAAAGCTTTAGAACATCCCAAATGTGTACGTTAAATTATGCTACTTTTCAGGTTCATGTTTGTATTTTGTTCTTCTACTTAAACATGTCTCCATGCTTTAATGTTGAAAAAGCTCTTTATTTTTCTCATACTGCCTGTGCTGCAGCACCTCTTTTCACCCTCTGTCTGAAACCAGAGCCCAGTCTGCTCTGATTGGTTAGCTGGCCGGCTCTGTTGTGATTGGTCGACCGCTTAGAGATGTCCCGCCCCTTAGTCTATCACGTTCAATGTGATGGAGCGCTAGCCAATAGAATTGCGAGTGCTCAATAGTGATGTCACTGTGTTACGGAAGTAAACAAATGACTACAATGTAGGCGTTTCAGGCAGGCATTAGGCACAAGACCGTTCTAAAAGATGTCCCATTTTACTATGACATTTCGTATTAATCATATCATTTCAAGATTTTTTCTGAATTTGGGTTTAGCACTCGCTGTTACACCAATTGTTGAAGCGCAACCTTCTTTACCGAAACATAAAATATATCCATTTCTAAAAAGCAAACATTTATAAGAGATGAAATGAAAAGGCAGAGGAAAAAGGTAGGAATTAATCACAGAAAAGCTAATAAAAGTTGTTGAGGAGGCCAATATTTGTGTTTTATAAAAAAAAAAAAAATTGGTTAAAATGGTTATGCATTACATTTGATTGAACATTTCCGTTAGAATCTCACAGACCATTACAACAACCATGACTTTCACCAAAATAAATCTCTTTGTCTCACCTCCGGAGCTCGCCGTCAGGCAGAACAACTTTCCCCACTTTAGCCATCCTCTCCATCGCCTCCTAAAACATAAATTGCAAAGACAAACATCACTCAATAAATCATGAAAGGCACATTTGGGTTTGGGGCCTGGCGTGACCCAGTTTTAGTTTTGACACGAGCCAACTGCAGTGGTTTGTGTGTGGCTGAGTTTATGACTAATGCAGGGCCGGGCCTCTCTGCCTTCAAACATACAACACAGACTGCAGAGTGTGCAGCTCACAGGAGCACACACAGAGTTATGGCTGGAAAAGGGCTGACGGGTGCAACAATAACATCTTATTTATTTTGTATTTATCTGGCTTAAAAGCATTCCATTGTGCTCCAAAATCTGGTACTGAAAAACCAAAGGATGATCACATGACCTAGCAAAAGATTCAATAATCACTTTTTATCTTAAACACATTTTACACTTAAAGAAATGGCAGTGTCACTTCAGAAAAAAAATCATATTTAGAAATACTTTATTTATCCGGGGGGAGGGGGGGGATAATAGGATTACTGACAGTTTTTCCTTTTGAGACTGAATAAATAAAAAGTGAAATAAAATGAAAAATGTATACAAGCATTTGTAGTAGGAATATACTATAAAAAGATGAAATACATTAAAGTAAAATATAACCACTTTTTTAATAAACATAAAGATTTGAAAAAGTGAAAGATGTCCAATAAAAGATCAAATAAAATAAAAATATGTATATAAACATAAAAATAAGATTTTTTTTAAATAGAATAGAATGCAATAGAAGAAGTTAAAATAAAATGAATTATAATAAAATATTGTATAAACATACATTAAAGGAAACATTTCCAATAAAAGAAAAACTTTAATAAAAATGTCTGCATCCTATAAACATTACTGAATGAGTTAAGTCATTCCTTGACTTAAATCATCCTAACAGTTTCCCTTTGTCATGAAAGACATTAGACCCAGAGTGAAAACACATAGAATTCACTCGGGGTGTTAAGATTGAGACTGGAGGTTCATCTCAATACCCCTCCTCGACTCCTCTCTTCCCCTCCTCTGGGACTTCACCCGGAAATTGATCAAGACACGCCATGTTGAAGGACGTCCCAATACTTGAAATGCACACGGAGGAGTCGAGGAGGGGTGAGGGAGGAGGGGTGAGGGAGGAGACGAAAGGGAGGATACAGCAGACTACGCGGAAGTGTTTTCACTACTCGCGTATAAAAGCCCCGCCCCCACCTTCACAGCTGGTCGATTTCAAGAGAGGAAAACGGAGAACTGGAAGAATGAGTGGAAAAGCATCACATAAATGTATAAGTGCTCACAGCTCCGTGGGAATTATTATGTGCAATTCATTTCTTAAGGTTATACTAACAATTTAAGTCTTGTTTAATGATCTTGAACGTCACTAAAACATAGCTATTAAGAAAGCTATTTCATAAATGGCTAGATCTTGATAAATAACAATTATTTGTTTTGTTTTGTGTTAAGATATTCAGGAGTTAAATTATTTAAAATGCACAGTCCTGAATGTGGGTTTGTGGTGAATGTGGGGATCTACAGGACACACATGTTCAGAGTAAAGGCTTTCACATTATTATAATTATATTTGTATTGAAATGTACATTTTACACCACAACGGAACACAAAAGCAGGACCAACCATCATACATTGAATTCCTTGACTAACAAGAGAAAGATTCATTCAAATAAATATTTACAAACAAATGGGCCGGTTCTAAAGGTTATTCAGTTAAGCCCGATGAGAGGGGATACAGCTGTGCACATGTCATCATTAACAGACGTCGTTTAAGAGTGACGTTTGAGTGAACGAGGACATCCCAATTAATACCTGAGGACTCCTCTGTCCTCGCGTCACCTCCTCGTGTCTCTCGCTCGCATCTTACGGAGGCGGAGCTAAGACGCAAGGAAGGGACGTCACGCGAGTGAGGGAAAGGAGGAGGTGAAATATTCAATTGAGATGAGCCTCCTGTGTGAGTCTAATGGAATCCATCAGGAGTATGAAAAAGTACATAAATACAAATAAAATGTAGAGTAATTATAATACAGATAATAAATGATATGTATGTTCTGAATAAACCGCTCCAAATCCCTGTGAATGCATGCTTACACATGGTGTTAAATAGAAACACATGAATGATATAAATGAACACCGCTGTCCCTCCCGCAGCCTATTTCTACCGTTTTGTCTTGTGTGTGCATTAGCATTGTTCTTATATTGTATTGTTATTCTTCTTGTTGTGTATATCCTGGCAATTGTATAGTAAAAACACTTGTGTGGCTGAATCACTTTATACTTCGTTTTTGGGTGTTACCCAGCAGATGGAGGCATTGAGTGAGCAATAGTGAGATCTGTGCTTTGTGAATTTTGAGGTCAACTTTATTAGGGCTATAAAATATGAACGCTGGATTGCACACTACTAAATACATTTCAAAATAAACACCTTTTTTTAACAGGGGAACGCCACTTATTTCACCCTTGTTCAGTTTACTCTTCATTAGGAGAACTACAGACTGTGGA